ATGATGGATGGTAATTAGTTACAGAATTGAAACAATTAGTTTTTTTTTTAATTTTTTATTTTAAATCCTTAATTAATAATTTTTGAACATTTGAAAGGAAAAAAACTCAATTTGAAGTCAGTAATTTTTTATGTCATGTCATTTGTCACATAATATTAATTTTATTAAAGTGACACGTTAATATGACAGTAACGTTGACTAACAAAAGTTAATTGATAATTAATGAGAGAAGTTTATTTGATCCAAAATAAAAATTAAGAGACATATTATAAAAAAATTATATATATTAAATTGACTTTGTTGATATAATTTAGAGATTTATTTAGATATTTAACCATAACTTTTTATCGTTGCACTAGATATTTATTGGATGACTATGGAAGGCACCAGGCTAGACTTGCTAGAACTTTATTCGAAGCTATGGCTAAAAGCCTCAATCTTGATCCGTGACTATCAAAATCTTATTTATCAGAAGCAACTGGATTCATTCGCGTTCATCGGTACCCAAGAATTTCTGAAGGCAACCAAGCTTGGGGAGTCGGGGTCCATACAGACAGCTCAATTCTTTCAATATTGAACCAAGATCAACTTGGAGGACTAGAGGTTTTCAGAGAAAACAGATGGTTCCCTGTTAAACCCATTGCCAACACCCTGATTATCAATCTTGGAGATATGATGCAGGTACATCTAAACCCTAATAATCTCTCTTTTCCCTTTGGGTACTTCCATCCAGCTACTTCATTGTAATACTTTGATTCAGTGCAGACTAGTGGCAAATTAAGACCAAGTTCTTAATTTAAGATCACACACACCAAATTATGATTAAAATGTTACGTCGTTATGTTTATAGCTTAATTTGCTGATAATATTTTGTTTCAGGCTATAAGCAATGATGAATATGTGAGTGTAAAGCACAGAGTAAGGGTGAACAAGCAGGTGGATCGAATCTCAATAAACTATTTTGTGTTCCCGGATCTTGACTGTACCATACAAAGCTCTAATTATAAGCCTTTTACTTACAAAGATTTTCACGCACAAGGACAGACGGAAATAGAGACACTGGGATATAAGGTTGGCCTTGAACGTTTTAAACTTAATAGGGATATTTAAGCATATGTTGGGTTAATCATTTTAGCTAATCTGATGACTGAACCAGTTAATCAGTTTTTTTTTGTTTCCTTTTTTTTTTGTTCAACATTAGTTGTGATAACTTTTGTTGTGGAGCAGCTCTATTTATGATAAATTCAAGGGGGTTTGTCTTAGTATAGGATAATTTTTCTAGATTTTCATTTTTTTTGATCATTTATTAGATTATTTATAAAAAATAAAAATTCATACAATTATTATATATTTCAGATCCTGTTTTAATAACTAAACAATCCGAATTCGGACCAAATAATATTATATTCTGAAAAAAAGAACTGTTACTATAATTACTCAATGTCTACTAATGTTCCAAAGTTATGTATTATGTTTCGTTTGTATGTAGCATAACATGCTGGTGCTTATCATAGACGATAGTGTACTACTCTAAAAGTAGCTTTTTCGACACCAAACCATAATCATATAAAGCTGCAACTCCCCCTCCCCCAGTTATAAAATATATATATATAGCTGCAAAGATACAAAGTAAAGAACAAAAAACATTTATGTTTTTGAAATGAACATAGAATCGTACCCTCCTCTCTTTAAGCCACATAGCAATCTAACCCAGAACATTGACCCTGATGAACCCATCGAACACATCGAAGATTTGGATCCTATCCCTGTCATAGACCTTCAATGCCTGGAGAAGCTTGATGAGGCCTGTGAAAATTGGGGTCTCTTTCGTTTGGTTAACGATGGGGTGCCGTCAACACTTCTAAGCCAAATCCAGGACCAAGCCAGAAAGCTTTTCTCCCTTCCATTTGACCATAAACAGGCCGTTATATGCAGTCCCCTATCTTACGTTTGGGGAACTGTATTCCTTAGCTCATCAGGGGCTGCGGTGATAAGTTCGCAGGATATGTTCAATTGTTGGGCAGAAGTCATCAATTTTCCTGTCACTCAACTCTCACAGTTCCAAACTCAAGATTCCTTGCTTGACCCTTTCAGGTACAACAGTTATAAATGTGCGTCTTCTATTCCTTCTTCTAGATCCTTTTTTTAATAACTATTTTAAATATTTTGAGAATAATCTATTATATTCACATAAATTGACATTAAAAACATGAAGTAAGCCTGCTTGGTCACTACGCTAAACTTGTATTCAACAGATGTGTGTGTGTGTGTCTGGATTATTGTATTTCTTTGGTTTTCATTCTAAATTTAACAAGATCTCTATTCTTTGTGGTTTCACTAGACATCTAGTGGAAGAATATGGAAAACATCTCGCTAGAATTGCTAGAGCTATCTTCCAAGTTATGGCGGAAAACCTCAATCTAGATCCAAGGCAATCCGAATCATATTTATCAGAATCAACTGCATTTATTCGTGCTCATCGATACCCTCAAATTTCGAAAGGTAAGTAAGCTTGGGGTGCAGGACCGCATAGAGACGGCTCTCTTTTTTCAATTTTGAGCCAAGATCAAATTGGAGGATTAGAAGTTTACAAGGAGAACAAATGGTTTCCGGTGAAACCCGTTGTCGACACCTTGCTCATCAATCTTGGTGACATGATGAAGGTCTGTTTAAGCTCTCATGCACTTTTCTAATATCATTTTCTAACCTTTAATTATTTTCCATGATCAAAACATAATAGTTAAAACCGACGAGTTATGACTAAGTGCGAATACAGTTACTTTTTTACATGGTTTATGTTACTTTTTACTAATTTGTTGATTCGGTTTAGGCTACAAGCGATGACAGGTACGTCAGTGCGAAGCATAGAGTGAGGGAGTACAAGCAAGAAGATCGAATCTCGGTAAATCACTTTGTGTTTCCAGATTTTGACTGTGTTATCCGAAGCTCTAAGTGCAAGCCTTTCACTTACTATGAATTTCGAGCACAAGGACAAAAAAATATTGAATCCTTGGGATTCATAGTGGGGCTTGAAGGTTTGAAGCTTAGTAAATAGGATTATAATTAAGCCTCTATTGGCTTAATGATTCCATTTTGTGATGATGGTTGAAGCTCTACGTATAGCTTTTCAGTTACAATGAATTTCTAGCGTAAAGATTGAAAGATATTGAGTCCTGGGATTCGTAGTTGGCTTGAAGGTTTCAAGCTTAGTAAATAGGATTATAATTAAGCCTTGGCTTAATGATTTCATTTTATGATGATGGCTGAAACAAATATCAATAATCAGACATCTTTCTTCTTCTTTTATCAGATGTTTTTGTTACTAAGTAACTTTTATAAATAATTAAATAATAGTTTAATCAAAATTTTAATTTATTTCTATTTATTTACTTTTTCTATTCGCATAATTGAAAGATTGAGATTTTAAAAAATGAATTTCGAGCACAAGGACAGAAAGATATTGAGTCTTTGGATTCATAATTGGTTTTGAAGGTCTAGTCATAAATAGAATTATAATTAAGTTTTTATCGGCTTAATGATTTCATTTGTGATGATGGCTGAAACAAATAAAGATAATCAGACAATTTTTTTTACCCAGATGTTTTTTTGAGTGGATTTTATAAATAATAATAATAAATAATCAAATAACGATTTACTCAATCTTTCTAATTCATTTTCGTTTATTTATTTTTTACAATTGCAGAATCAAAAGATTGACATTTCAAAAAGATTAATTATTTTTTGTGAGTGTCAATTATAAATATGTTTAATCAAATTTTTTTAAAATATATATATATATATATATATATAAAAAGCTTTACCTAAATGATATCTATGTCAACATGGAAAGAGTAAAATAAACCCCCTAGAATTCGGGAACTACCTCCAATATATTGCTTACTATAACTTACTTGAAAATTTAAAGGGATATATATATATATATTAACTGAAGAATGAGAAATTTCAGTCAAAATTCATGTGGTTAATACATAAAATAACCACCATTAATAAATTTGGATTCTTCTTACTTTCCCTCAGAATTTGGATTGAATAAAGAGAAAGACATTCAACTTCTAGACTCACACAAGAAGTGAAAGAAAGATGACCACCAGCACTACTCTATCCATTTTAATTCGGAATATGCTTTTTTTTGTAGTCACACAATTCCTCTTGTGTTTGCATGGTAAGCTATGCATGCTACATAAACAAACAAATAGTCTCTAAAAAGACTATAATCACACGATAAACAACCCCTCTTTCCCATTGGAAAAAGCAATGGAAACTCTGAAAACCCAAATATATATGTGTATGTATATATCGAAGACAAAAGGTGCCTAAAGGATTTAATATTATAAAATCATCACATTAATTATTTAGGTAATTAAATTTGTAGTTTAACAATATATATATATATATAAGTATACGGAGATTTCCCATTGCCTTAAATAAATTAGGTGGAGTGAACTATTAACATTAAGTTAAGATATTTGATAATTATACTTAAAGAATTCTTTTCACGGTCCCGTTTGCCATCAGACTGAAAATCAATTCATAATGATAATCACCACGCTTTTTAAAAGGCCCCACCCTTATTTAGCACACGAACGTAGAGAATCAAAACAATTTTTTCAAAATTAATTTCATATATTGATGACACGACGGACGACATCTTCGTTTCTGCACAAACGTGAAACAGGAGAAAAACAAATCACAGCCGTTCCGGATGGGTCCTGAGTTGATGGACGGATGATATTGCATGCACAAGAAGGTTTGGTTTTATTAGGATACATGGAGAGAATAGTAGAGTATATATGGCTGTTTCTTGGTGAGAAAGAATCGGATGGAGAAAGGGAAACTAAATGTGAGAGAGAAGAAAGCTGTTATTTTAAATGCGATTTTCGTTATCCTTCTTTTACCCTTTATTGTTTTTCTCTCTCTTTCTCTATAACTCTCTTGGCATTGGTTGATACGTACTTCAGTTAGGAGGGTATCAAGTTTTCTCTTTTTGGGCAGGGAGGTCTCCAATGGCGGTGGTTGGTGTTTTAGAAGACAAAGGCTCTGTTTTGAGGAAAAAGAAACGTCGGAGAATGTGTGAAAATAAGATTCTTGATGTTAATGACAAAGTTGAGGTAATGTGGTTAATGCCCATTCTGGTTTTGAATGAGTTTTCTTCAATTATATGTTTTTTCTTTGGGGGTTTCGTTTCTTTTTTTGGAGGGGTTCAAATCCTGGGTTGTGATTTCTTTGGTGTCTCATTGAGTTTTCTTTAATGTGGGAACTTTTTTTTTTTTGGAACTGGGATATACCTTCTAATTTGGTTTTTGTTTATAGCCGAAACTTTCCAATGCTATTAATCTGTGTGATTAGAGCTACATTGTGTTGTTTAATTCTTTATCTCATTAGTAACATTCTTATATACCTGGTTTGGGGTCTGTTTGGTAGCCATGCAATGTTAACTTATAAGGTTTTTTTCAAAATTTTGAGAGCCCTTGCTTGATCACTTACTGTTTAAAGTATGAATATCTGATGCATTTGAAGTTTTAGTTCCGTGCATAAAAATGTTGGAATTTTGTAGGTGAGGAGTTTGGAAGAGGGGTTTCAGGGTTCATGGCATCAAGGAACTGTTATTTCATGGGACAAGCGAGGGTGTCACGTCAAGTATGATCATATTCTCGTTGACGATGGTTCAGATAATTTTATTGACATTGTGGGTGTTCCTTCACCTGTAGTAGATGGCATTGGTTGTCCCTGTGGAAATCAATGTAACTATCGTGGGTCTATAAGGCCATTGCCACCTAAAATAGAGATTAGCAAATGGAGTCTTTACTACGGACTCTGCGTGGATGTATATTTTATGGACTCTTGGTGGGAAGGTGTGATTTTTGACTATGAAGATGGTTTGGAGAAGAGGAGAGTTTTCTTCCCTGATTTGGGTGATGAAATGATTGCTGAAATTGGAAACTTGCGGATTACTCAAGATTGGGATGACTTGGAAGAGGAGTGGCTCCGACGTGGGACTTGGTTGTTTCTTGAGCTAATTGAACAATACGAGCAGGAGTGGTACATTTCTGTTTCTGTGAAGCAAATTTGGTATGATTTACGGGAGAAAGAGGGTTTTCAAAATCTTAGAGAGTGGACATCTTCTTGTGAAGCTTTGTGGAAAGAATTGGTGCTGGAGGTTATAAAAGATAACCATGAAATCACTGTGAATCATTTTATCAGGGTATCAGGCCTTTCTGGGTCCTCCCAGCCAGAATCCAAGTTACAACTGGAGCCTGTTATACCAGCTGCAGATGTTAATATGTGTTCTGATGCAGATTTAGCTGACACTTTTGCTCTCGTACCAGTTGAGAATCCAATTAACAATACTATGACGAGTCCAAACCCAGCTACTGTTGAATCAATTCAAGAGAAATCTGACATAGGTCAGTTGATGTGTATCTCAAAGGATGATACCAATCTTTTGACTGAATCAAATGGATTCTGTCTTGACACAGCAGTCTGTGTTTTACCTGAGGCTTTGTCGGTCTCACCCTCTGTTGCAGATGGAATTTCCTGCATCAGTTCTAATACTAGCAATGAAGGCTTTTCCGGAACCAATTTAGATATGGCCAAAAGGAGGGCCAGAAATTCAAGACTCGATGAAACTGAGACTTGGATGACTGCTGGCGCAGACCTTGTTTCTAAAGCTGAGTCATGCCCTGATGCCATTACCAAATATGCTCTTTCTGGTAAGAAACATGCGAATGCTCTGAGAACTGATGTTAGGAAGCATCTTCTATATCAGGGATGGATAGTTGAGTCTAAGCAAGACAAACATGCAGTCAGAGTGCGATACATCTCACCTACTGGGGATTGTTATTACTCTCTTTATAAGCTCTGTTTAGATTTGATGAAACAATCCGGGAAACTTATTTGTTCAAACACCAAAGATTTATCTGTTGTTGAACCAACCATGAAAGATGTACATGTTGTTGAACCAGAATATTGCCCTCAAGCTGTTTTGGACTGGTCTAAGGCTGGACTGGATGAGACTCACAAGTGCCATTCCAAGAGAAGTGATATGACCCTAAAGGCTAAAAAGCATCTCTCATGGCTGGGTTGGGCATTTCACTATGCAAGCAGCAATGGAAAGCGCTACTTGTGCTACACTTCACCAAGTGGAAGGATATACTTTTCACTTCGAGCAGCCTGCAAAATGTGTATAAAAGGAGGTGGAGTATCTCAAACTGATGCTTCTCCTTCTAGACCTCTGGAGAAAATTAATGTCATTGAGGAGGCTGATAGTCAGCTAGCAAGTGAGAAGCGTTCTTCTGCACTATCTTATATAGGTATCCAGAGAAGCTCAATGCAATCAAATGCTGAATTGGAAAATTTCTCCAGAGAGTCTTATTTGAAATTGGAGAAGAGAAATCTTGTTGGGCTAAGTAGAGTAGGTCAAAGAACTCGAAAACCCAAAAGGAAGAGAAAGGATAGTTCACTGTATCCTGTGTCTTGCTTAGACAAAAGGCCAGCCAACTCACCTGTTGTAAACACTAGCATCTCAAGATTGAAAGGTGGAAAGACACCTGTGGCATTGATGAAATTAAGAGAGAATCTCAAAGGTAGTCAACATAACCGTGTGCTACGATCAACCAAAAGAGTGCAGCAGGTAGTAACCCCTAGTCCAGCGCACCAGAATCCACGAACTGTGCTGTCTTGGTTGATAGATAACAATGTTGTTTTGCCAAGGTCAAAAGTGCATTACTGGAGGAAGGAGCAGAGGTTGAAAGTTGAAGGGCGGATAACTCGTGATGGAGTTAAGTGCAGTTGTTGTGACAAGGTGTACACTCTTGGTGGCTTTGTAGCACATGCTGGCAGCAGTAGCCACAGACCAGCTGCCAACATCTTCTTAGAAGATGGTAGGTCTCTGTTAGATTGCCAGCTACAAATGATACATAATAATAAGATGAAGAAGTTTGGAAAAAAGCGGAATCGCCAGTTGAAGGGCAGTTGGCGACAAGACAAAAATGACTGCATTTGTTCTGTTTGTCATTATGGGGGCGAACTAATTTTATGTGATCAATGTCCATCCTCATTCCATAAAAGTTGCCTTGGTTTAGAGGTATCTCTTTTGTTTCATTATCAGTTCATTCCTATTGAGATCTACTTCTATTCCATTTTTTAAAACCTACAGATCTTTGATTTCTTCTGTTGGAATTTTCTGTCATAGAGTGTTCCGGATGGTGACTGGTTCTGTCCATCATGTTGTTGTGGAATTTGTGGTCAAAGCAAGCCTAAAGAAGATGGTGCAGATTTTGTGGATGACAGAACTCTCACTTGTGCTCAGTGTGAGCATAAATGTAGGTTGCTTTTCTCCACTCGCTGACAGGTTAAAAGCACATTTGGATAGTTTCTTATGCAGTTTTCATGCATTTGGTGCAGATCACGTTGTATGCATAGGCAATAGAAGGGCAAATATGTTGGAAATATGTGCAAAAGAAAATTGGTTTTGCAGCAAAAGGTGTGAAAAGGTACATCCAATCAGCTTATTTTTGTAATTTGAACTGTGCATCAACTAGTAGCTGACTTTTCCTGCCCTTTTTCTTTGGGCATAAATAGTTTCTCTATCCACTTTCTTAAATATTTGAGTGCTTCACAATGAGAAGCTAGTAAAATTTTCATTTCTCTTTTGACCACTTTTAGCCCTTTTTATATGTCATATTTAGAATTCAAGTAGTGCAAACCTAGTAAGCAGTGGCAGAGAACTGGCTTTTACAGTAAAAGTTCTTACGATTTGATCAAGTGATGGGCATGATTGTTCATGGGGAGATGTTTCTGCAATTTAGAGAATCTTTTTGCAAAAATTATTTATATCCAGTTGAATCTCATGTGGGTGAGATTAACAGTCAACTTTTGCCTTCATTGTGCTAGTCATTGAGAAAAATTGGTAGGATTTATATCGTAAATGTTATATGATACTCATTTCTTAAGGCAGCAGCATACCTTAAAAGTTTGTAGTGCATGAGCAATGTAATATCATGCCGTTGATAGTACATCTTGAAATGTTGCTTATGGTGGTGGCTTTGCTGCAGATATTTGTGGGCCTTTATGAGCTTTTAGGGAGGCCAATTCCTGTTGGAAGGGACAATCTAACATGGACACTAATTAAAACCACGCCGTCGGATACTCATGATCTTGATGCTTCAGATAACGAAGCCATGATTGAGAATTACAGCAAGCTTAGCATTGCGCTTGATGTGATGCATGAGTGTTTTGAGCCTGTCAAAGAACCTCACACCGGCAGAGATCTTGTTGCAGATATTATTTTCAGTAGAAGGTGGGTAATTCTTGTTTTCTGATGTCATCTTGATAACTTTAATATATATTAGGTGTTTTGCTTTTTACTATTCTGAAAAATGTAGCTGTAAACTCTGGATTCATTTGCAAGTATCATGGTTTTTGCTATTTAAATGATTTGAGGAACAAATGGAAACCATATTAAATGTTTTGGTGAATGCCACTATTGCAGTTCCTAAAGCATGTTACTCTGATTTTCTTTCTGATGTTACCTCTTGATTTGAGGATTGGTTTGAATTTTATATCTTTTGGCATGCTTGTTAGTTCATGTTGAAGCATTGTAATTCATATATTCTGGTCACTTTATGTGGGGAGTAGTGTAGATTTAAAAACTCCTGGCAGCAGAACTGTAGGCAAGTCACATTTTGATGTGGCATAACTTGTGATTTAGATTTGTGTCTGAAATATTGCTTAGTGTTGAGCCTCCTGGCATTGCATTTTAGCAAACTTCTAGCAGCAGTACTGTAGGCAATGCATGCTGTCAAAGCCTGCATCGCAGAGAGCAGAATTCTCTACTTTGTGTGATTTATCTTCGATAATCTGGCCAAACTGTCTTGACTGACCATCTGCCTTAACCTGTTTGGAGCTGATGGCTTAAATAGGCTACATTTTTAAATTAGTATTAAATGACCTGGATTTCTCCTCCTTATATTTCATATAGTAGCCTATCAAGGTCTATGCATTTAGGCCATTGAGCCATATTCTGCTGCTGATTCTTGAGCTTCATAATCTATTGTTGCTACTTCAGTATAATTAGTGATGATTTATGCATGTTTTGGGTGTTTAATATAGGGAAATAGCTTCAAGCTTGATCCTTGTGATTTTGAATTTTGCAGCTCAGAACTTAACCGCCTAAACTTCCAAGGGTTCTACACAGTACTTTTGGAAAGACATGATGAACTTATTACTGTTGCTAATGTTAGGTAAGCTTCTCTAATTAATGATAGTAAGCCTATAGGACTACAGTTCTTAGTTAGGCTGTCTTGTATGCATGCTTTGTTGATAATCGTAGTTTTAATTGCTACTTGCCTATTCAAGGGTCCATGGAGAAAAGGTGGCCGAAATACCTTTAATTGGTACCAGGTTTCAATATCGGCGACTTGGAATGTGTCGAATCTTAATGAACGAGCTTGAAAAGGTAATTTTTATCATGTTTCTAGGGTCTTTCATTGGTGGTGCTTTATGTTTACTATTGGTTAATTTCACATGCATGGGGATTCCAAACAATGTTTTAGAAACTGAAACAGTTGTCAAGTTGTAAAATTGAGGGCTAAGGTCTAGAGATTTAAACAGGTTCAAATGGATATATGACTTGTGGTTTCATTATGATCTAATAAATATATTAAAAATTCCATTTAATTTAGCACTAAGATTAATTTATAAAGGGTAGCATTTATAAACTTTATGAAGCATATGATTACAAAATTAAAAAATTTTACATGTTGATTATGTGGTCTTTCACATTTTATATAGCATCAAAATATGTAAAACATTTCAATTCACAGTGTCTGTTTTGATAATTAGGTGCTAATATTTAATGTTGCTACATGTTTTAAAGAAATATAATGGCTATAGATTAATTCCATGTATATTCTTTGGAGATAATATTTCAAAAAGATAAAAAAAAAAATCCAGGGGAATAAAAGGGGGGGGGGGGGGGGGGGGGGGGGGGGGACCCGCATTTCATGACATTTTTGGTGTTCGATATAATCCCACATTTATTCACTAATATATGTTGCATCTGACAAATTTCTCACTATTGTTTCTTGCATGATTTCTTCAGAAACTCATGGAATTAGGAGTACAGAGGCTGATATTACCTGCTGTTCCTAATGTGCTGCACACGTGGACTACTTCATTTGGATTTTCAAAGATGATGCCTTCTGAGAGACTAACATATGTAGATTATACATTTTTAGATTTCCAGGGTGCCATAATGTGCCAGAAGCTTTTACTTAAGAGACCTTTAGTGGAATCAAACTTATCAATTGGTACTTCCTATTCCCTGGCCACCTTGTTCAAGTAGTAATTACTGCACTGAATCACATTCATGTTTTCGTTCATGTTTTGCAGGATCACAGTTCAAACCTTACAGTGATGCATTTGAAAGCAGTGATAATGTCGACCTCGAAGGATCCAGTGCAGTCTCTGAAGTATTTCAAGCAGGACAAATTGAGGACAATGGATTTATTGACCAAGGACTAGTGGAGTATGTCTCACCTCTTTCTTAATCTATTTAGCAAAAAAAAAAAAAGGAAATTGGAAAAAAATAAAAAACACTCGAATTTCACTCTTTCTGTTAGGATGGTCACACTCATGATAACTACTGGCTTAGACTTCTAACCAGGTTATAAAGATGAAAGCTATCTTATGTAAATATCATCTATTTGGAAATCTTACAGTTATTATATTCAGGTAATTGTGATTATATGGGAGGAAATTATTGTTAGATAATCATCCTTGACTTTGAGTAATTGAGTTGCTTGGAAAAGAGAGAGTGTTTAGAGAAGAACAGATTACAAAATGACAATTCTCATGGAGCAAATATCCATGGTATATATATGATATTGTAAATTCGATAAAATATGAAAATTGGTGACCTTAGAATGCCCCATGTCCGCCTACATAAATGTGCTACTAAATCAAAGGAAGACTGGTGAAGCACTAACTGGCACAGAATACCTTGATAGTAAGGTAAGGAACACCTATAATTCAACTGGACTGGCATGCTTCAGTTGGGTATGGTGTTTGATAGTAATAGTGATGGGCTGTTGTTCTTTGAACCCTGAATTATTTCAATCACTTACCATCCTTTTGGAAATGATCAAAGTATGAAAGAAGATGCCTTTGTCTCTTCACTCAAACACACAGATGCATAGATGTGTTCATTTACACTCCTACTTGTTGACAACCTCACTATCTATGCTAATGTATAAAGCCATGAGCTAAGTTGGTGTATCTCTCTTTTGGAAAATATTTTAAATGAGTCGGATATTCTCCTGTTTCTTTCCCTTCATCTTAGAGAAATTGTTTGTTAGAACTGCCTTTTTTCTTTCTCCCATACCTACTTTCCTCTCTCCCACTCTTTTTCATCCCCATTGCATTTTATTGGAAAAGAAGAATCTAATTAATATATATCTATTATCTTAACCACAGTAAGGGCTTGATTGGCTCCAGTGAGATTGAAAACAGTGATAGCGGTGAAATTGGTAACCGTAATGATGAGATTAGAGTTTAGATTTATTGTGGTGAGATTGAAAAAGGTGCGCAGCTGCACCTCACCTCAGCTCCAAATGGGGCCTACTTGTGTGCAAACCATTCCTTATCAATATTAGGGGACAGAGAAAAATAAGGCATGTTACCAATTATAGCTCTTGGCCTTTAATGCCATTCAATCTAGAGAAGGGAAAATTGAACAGCATTGTTACTATTGCTTAAGCTTGTGAAAGAAACTATGATGAAGAGCTGTAGCCACTAATATTAATAAAAAGGAAGGTTGTATACTTTTATGTAGTTTTCTTTTGGCTTCTTTTTTTGTACCAAACTTGAGGATGAAGTGGACTTTATCACTTTAGGATAGAACACAGTGCTTGAATTAGAGCTGTTTGTAATTTGAATGACTGGAAACTCTGCAATTTGCATTCTTTCTGGCACCAAATTAATCATACTCCATCATATTTATATAATCCTTACTCATCTGAAATGAGGCTGTACTGACTATAATACCAGCTATTTATCAATCTAATTATTTCTGAGCAGTGCCAGGTTTGTAAAGTTGAAGGAAAATTAGTCCAGTAAAATCCTCCCGTCCTCCTTTAGAATCATATGGGTTTAAGCATTACTTGAGTCCACTATATATCACATGAGCAACCTCTTTTTGTTCTTGAATTTGCATGGTTTTCTATTCCTTTTTCAAGCTTACTGTCTTCAATGGTGCTCGATTAGTCACTAACAGCTTTAAGTTTTTGGCAGGAATGGTGCAGGTGGGGGGAATAGTAATAAAGGAGACTGTGTTCATATTGTGGTAATGGTACTTCTATTGACTCTGAAGCATTTCATTTTTTTCCATCATTAACCTATTCTTTCATTTTATATCTGCTTTTGATCCTCACTTCTCTTTCGCTTCTAACGAGATACTTGATCTCCTTCTTATTTAAAGGCAAACCAACCAACTCAAATTGACCATGAACCATGTGATACTGAAGTCAATCCAGAATGCTCAGCTGTAGATACCAATTATAAGAAAAGAAAATGCAGTGGTAGTGATTCCATTAGGTGCTACAAGCGCAGGAGGATATCTGCCTGAGTGTTGCTTTGTTTGCACAGATTCTGCAATTAGACGAGGGAATGATTTTCCAGGCTGCTCTTGGGAAGAACCTATTCTCTATGGTTTTTTGATGCTGTCATGTAGACCGGCTGCAGGACATCCAAATTTTACTTCATGGATGTGTAAATCCTCTGTACAGAATATAAGTCGGACAGAACATCTCAAACTCGGATGAAGACTATTAACGTTATAGTTTAGGAGATTATGTAGAGTTCATTACCTTTTAGGATCAATAATGTAGAGCTCATTTTGAGTATCCTTTTGTCCCTATTAACTGTATGGATGTATAAGTTAGAAGCATATCATATCCAATTGCCTTCTCTTATATTAGTGAAGGTTACCTTTCCTTCATGTTTGTTTAATTGGTTTTTGTGTGGAAACTAAAATGCCATAAGATAGCTGCTGAAGAAGAAACAAATGTTGTAAAATAATGGTAAGTTCCTGTCTTGGTGATCTGAATATAAGACAACTTATTACCTTTCATTCAAGAGAAAAATAAATAAATGGAAAGTCGATAGACAGAGTAGGACATAAACCTTTTTCTTCTTTGAAATTAAACTTATATTAAAACTTTAAAGCGATAGATATGGCAATGTGACCAACCCTAGGAGCCGCTTTGGGTTTGTTACTCCTTTTACATTTCTTTGGAAGAAGGAGAATGCAAGAGAAAGCAGGCCTGGCAGAGAGGAAGAGAGTGAGGCAGAGGAGGTTCCCAAATTTCTACTTTGGGACAAAAGGAGACTTGCTACTTCTGTAGCTCTTGGCTAGGTGGTTCTAGTTTCCTGGCATGCCCATTTTTCATAGCAATTGGTCCAACTTTCTGGTAAAAAATTCCATAATAATTATGCAAACATAAGATCATAAGGCACATGTTTTTTGTATTTGCTATTGGATTTTGTCCAAAGACAGCTACTTTTGTGGTTCAATGGAGGTTGTATTCATTTTCACCCATGACTTTCTGTCCTTATCCTGACAGCCCTCCTCCCTCCTCCCTCCTTCATTAATGATGATGTTAATGTTATCGAAACTTTGCTATCTTAACCCCTAAATAATTTAATTTGGGTACTGAATTGTCCAATGAATGCTTTTCTGCACAGCATTTTATTTATAAGAATAATAAGAACATGAAAAGTTGTCGAAAACAATGTGTTCTATTGTATCTATGTTTTGTGTTGTCTATGCATGGCAAGGTCATCATCCAAGCGTATATGGGAAACAGTTCTAATCTATTACTCCTAACTAATCTAATGTAAACTCCATGAATGGAATTCATCAATTTTGCTTAAGTAAAGAAATAAATGTCAAATGCGGTATTGAAATGGTAATATAAACCATAATGAGGCCCTTCAAGTTCCTACCCCTAAATCATTATACTCTTTAATTTAATTTAATCAAACTAACCATTCAACTAAGGTAGAGGTGGCAAGGATTGGATCATTTTGAGACGAATCAATTTTAAACTATTGTTTTAATATTAATTTAAGTTTAAATTAATTTAGAATTGAGTTGTTTTATGTTCAAGTTATTGCCTTTCATTTGTCCGATTGAGTTAGATCAAGTTCAAATAGATTTTTCAAGTTCGGATCAATTTTACCAATTTTAAGTTAAGGAGAAAATTATTGTGGAATATGTTAGTTGGGATGGTTCAAATGTTGCTTATGTCAATAAAATAAATATATTAAGCAATTAGACTAAATTATATTAAAATATTATTATCTTTTTACAATCAAAATCAGATGTTTCTTAATTTGCTCCAAAGAATAGATATGAAAATAAGGAAGATATCCCTTACAATTATTTTTATTATAATTCTATAATTATCTAATTATAACAAAAAAATTACCTAAGATCCATAACTTTTAAAAAAAATGATAAAGTGCTGAGTGAGAGGTGGATTTATTTGAACTTATCATCAAATTTAAATATACAAAATTGATGAAAAAGGGAGAAGAAAGGGCAAGAAGGTGGTAATGGTATGATAGATTTGTTCTACGGTTTGATGGTTTTTGGGTGAAGATTGAAATTAAATTTATGTTATCGTTGTTATTGGTTTTGTAATGAGTTTTTGTTTTAAAGTAGTTCCTATTGGGTGAAATTTTGGATTGCTTTTTATGTTGTTTTTGATATTTTTTTTTGCTGGGTGTTTATGATTTTTGGTTTTTAAAGATAAATATGTACTGTATGTAGTCAAAGTTTGTTTTCTTCCCTATTACTTCTTCATGTCTTTATAATTGAGCAACTATTATATATGGTCTTCTTTAGAATAAATTTTTATTCATTGAGGAAGAAACACTTATGAATGTGAATTTCATACAATCTTTTGATGAATCTTACACAATTCATTATTATGATAAAATGATTTCAATATAAAAAATAATTAACCGTGTAATGAATATATCATTAAAAAAGATAACAACTCTCATTCAAACGTCATGAATTACTTAACTATTAATGAAGAGTACTGCAAGATTAAATTTCATAGAGTTTAGTTTTTTTTTTTCAGATATCAACAGGTAAAGTATTTGTTATTTTAAAATATTTTATCTAAATTTCATTATTTGATGAGATTTTCAAACCATATAAATACTCAAATCTTAAATTTTAATTCGATATTTGATAATGTTAACATTTACACGTTTAGGGTCAGTTGTCGGATTTTGTTATTAAAAAACCCAGTGATGTTTCTTGGAGGAAGATATTTCCAAGTAGAAAGTACAACCTCTTTTAACTTAAGATATCGAAAGAAGCTTCTGTTGCATAGCCTCGCCCCCCTACCCACCTCTGCAGTCTGCGATGTTTCCAACTCCAAATCTTTCCTTGCACCATTCACATTGATCACAACAAACTTTTTCGCCCATTCATTTTGGAGGTATTAATGGCTTTCAGCCACCGAACTCAACCCTGTCTGGACCCCCAACCAGCTATATGCTCTTATGTAACCGGCCCAGTAGCAAGATCACCGTCGACTTTTCTTCTTTTAAGTCTTGTCACTCGTGACTGCTGCACTGATGACTGATGTTAATTGTTGCAACTTTGTTTTGAACGAATGAGAGTAGTCATAGCGGGTAAATCATTTGAATTTGGATTCATAAAGTTCTAGCTGAAAAGGGCAGTCCACCTGATCAAATAATTTCTAGTACCATGAACTTGAAATTGACTCAAACAGAGTGGGATTAAATTTTTCCTTTCATCACTCTGATGAACTCTTCGGATGATTGAGAAAGCTGACGAAAGGAAGAAAAGTATAGTACTGGCATCAAGTTTATGTTTATGTGTAAGAGATGGGTGATGATGGAGATGGTCATGAAACATGAATCTCACACCATAGTTTAATCAACTAAAAAAGGTTGAATGCTAAAGAATGATGTTCTGTGCATGTGGATGAAGGAAAGCAAAGAACATTTTGCTTTTCCAAAAAAATTTGCCCTGTTGGATAGAAAGTAGGAAATCTTGCTTTTGTTCATCGCAGCAAGTATTCTTCTCTTTTGATGATCAGAGGGACGAGAGATCAAGGATCAAACTTTATGGCGCCTACCAGAGCCCAACATCTACAACCTATGCCACACGCCAAGTTGGAGTCCTATGTCGACCATCTCCAAAATGTATACTAATAAAATATATTTGTAAGAAGAAGAAAAAAAAAAGACATTAGATGGTCTTTTGTCAGTTTTGGGCCCATCTCCCGACCAGTTCCTTTTATCAATGACCTCCCTTCATTACAATCAGATTAGCAGAGAACCCAAGAAGAGAGAGAAATTAGGAAAGGGAGACCCCATGGTATGGGCAAAGATAAAGTGGCAGACAAACAAGAATCCCCAATAGGAATTAAGGAAGCCTGAGACTCTGTTTCAAAGGGTCTAAATTAAACAACACGAATCCACCGCAAAGTTGCAAACACTCCATTTAAACTCACATGAAGGCCTAGCAGCCTCTCAGCTAAACTTCACATGCATCACAACAGAACAAAAAACTGTACTCTTTTCTGAGAACTTAACAGGAACTATATATCTAAAGCCCCACTTTCTCATTATACTATACAAACTCTCCCCTCCCTCTCTCTCTCTCTCTCTCTCTCTGCCTCTTTTCTTTTTTGGCTTTTTTCTCTTTCAATATCATTTCTCTTATAGGCTCTGCAAAATGGCCCTTCTTTTTCCCCAATCTCTTTCATTTCATCTTTTCAAGTCATGTCTAACAATTCTTTTTCTAGCTTTGTTTCAATCCGACACAGCTTCCTCAGCTCTGATAATGAGCTTGAGGAACCACCATAACCACCCACAACATAGAAGGCCAATGTTTCAAACAAACCAAAGTACTTGTGCATTGTTTGCAGGCACTTGGGTTCGTGATGATACTTATCCATTGTACCAATATTCCAGCTGTCCAATCATAGATGCAGGATTCAACTGCCAAATGAATGGAAGACCTGATTCTGATTACCTGAAGTATCGATGGCAGCCTCTTAATTGTCAGCTTCCAAGGTATCAGATAGCTTTGTTCTGCTGCTAGTTTTCTTTTTTATATATAACATGCAATGCCATTTTTTTTTTATGCTTTACATTGTGATGATTTTGGTTTTAGTATCTTTATGTCAGGTTCGATGGACTTGTGTTTCTGTCGAAAATGAGAGAGAAAAATGTGATGTTTGTTGGTGACTCTCTGGGAAGGAATCAATGGGAGTCTTTGATTTGTATGATTTCAGCTGCAGCACCACAAACGCAGACTCAGATGATCAGAGGAGATCCTCTCTCCACCTTCAAGTTCCTGGTGAGTCTTATGAAACCTTGTTAGCATTTTATTCCGATCCCTTAGCTCTTATAAAAAAAATAATGCTGAAAAAATAGAAAAAGAAGGGCATTCTACGGTGGTGGAATGAAGGCTGGAAGCAACTGCTTTTGTCTTAACTTTATTTGAAACTTTTGTATTTTGGGGTTGCTGTCTGTGACCCAATTTTTCTTTGCAGAACTAGTGTACAAGTTTTTCTTTTTTTTTTCACTTTTCTACCTTACAGCCAGAATTTGTTTTAAGCTTTTAAAATCTGGTCAAAAAAGTCGTTTCAAGCACACTGTAATGTGTCTTTACAGCAATATTTTAGACCAAAACCAAAGGTGCAGGGTAAGGGGCAGAGATGGATTTGACGTTTGAGGTTCCCAATGTGAGCATTATTTTGCCAAAGGCATGTTAATTGTTGCCAACTACAAGGCACTAGCGAGATTGTTTTTTTCCTCGAATTATACTGTAGTACTAGCCTTGCAAGCATCATAAATTGGCATTCTTTCAATTTAGTATCCCAAATCATTACGGATGGCCTGTCTGTCTCTTTCCCTCTGTTGTTGTGACTTACCATGTGCGAGAGGGCGCGATTTCAATCAGCTCAAACTTGAAGTTGAAACTAACACTCCTCTTTGTCTTCCCCCCAAAATCCTTATTTAGCACTAAAAAACGTGTATTGATTTTGAAATTTTGTTTTAATTGTAATTAATGCAGGAATATGGTTTATCGATATCATTTCATCGAGCTCCATATTTGGTAGACATAGATGTGGTTCAAGGGAGGAGAATCCTGAAGTTAGAGGACATAGCTGGAAATGGAAACGCCTGGCGAATGGCAGACGTGCTGTTATTTAACACAGGCCACTGGTGGACTCATAAAGGATCCCTCCAAGGGTAGGCGAACTTTCTATTTCTCTGACCATATGCCACTGTAAAATGGGATTTGTTTGTTTAATTTAATAGCCTGAGGTATATCTGGACAGGTGGGATTTGATTGAATCAGGGGGTAAGTATTACCAAGACATGGATCGTTTGGTTGCTTTGGAGAAAGGGCTGAGAACATGGGCCAATTGGGTTGACACCAATGTCGACATAACGAGAACCAGGGTCTTTTTCCAGTCCATTTCCCCTACACATTACGAGTAAGCCTTCTCTCTCATATATCTAGTCTTTGATTAATAATAATTGTGTGTTTGGAAGTGGAAAAGTAATACGACTCCAAGCACTAAAAATTCCGTCCAATCTGAGTTGTGCAGTAGGGGTGCCTGAAGGGCACCAACCTGAGTTCAATTTTCGTTTGCTTAGGTTAATCCCAACAGAACATTGCTTATAGAAGAGATTGACTGATTAAACAAATGGCTAATAGCCTGTGGCAACTTGCTGAAATTACTACAACTGTGTAAGCACCTACAATAAATGTTACATTACAGCTTGGAGATATCTGAGCAAACTATTTATAAACCATTATTTAAAAATAGCTTAAAACTGGGAAGAAGTGATGTAGTATGGCTCTAGGTCTGGTACCAGGAAATAATTGAATGGGACTGCAAAGAAAATCGGTGTGGGACGATGGGTCATTCATGGATGTGGAAGGGGAAAATAATACACTTCAAGAAAAACAAAAACTGCAGTATAAAATATCAGTGTCGGTCATCTGTTTACATGAAGTAAAGGACAAAGTGTTGTTATATACACTCTTCAACTTCACTCGACCATTTATCACGAGAGATATTTTGCCAGCCTCCCTTGAGGAATTCATGATAGATGGTTGATGTACTGAGACTACCCTCGAGTTCTTCCCATCCCCATCTCCCCATCTTTCATGAGATAGTCAAATTACTTTCATTGATTAAAGAGTAGGAGTACTTGTAGCCAAAAAAAGATCTAATAGTACAAGAACTAGTAATGTATTTAGCTGATTTTACTGCTCTCTTTCTTTTAACAACTGTAACCTCGTGATACAGTGAGGAAAGTGTCTTTTTGAGCAACGTTTTGTGTCGGTGGAAACTGACCCTTTATTATTAAATGCTTAGAAATATATCACTATAAACGTTCCTGCAAAATGCCCGACCACACCTTGCCTCACTGCTATTTTTCGGTGGACCACTGCCTATGGCTCTCACGGAAAACACATGATGCATGAACGAGTATATTGTTCTGTTCTGATAACTGATATGTCAGAAAGAAAATTACTTTTCACATTCCAAAAAAATCCTCTTTGATCTGGGACTGGATTTTTGGAGTAGATGTAAACATATATACTGTCTCATTACAAGACTCCCGGAGGTGTTAAGATAACTTGCATTTAGTGTCACATGATTAATATGACTTGCTAGTTGGTTTACTGCCATTCAAAATTCAATGATCTTGACGGAATTTCATTGACAGTCCAAGTGAATGGAGTGCTGGAGCAACAGTGGCCTCCACGAAAAACTGTTATGGAGAAACGACGCCAATGACTGGAACCACGCACCCCGTCACATACCCTGACCAGATGAGAGTGGTGGATGAAGCCATTAGGGAAATTCACTTCCCTGCATATTTGTTGGACATAACCATGCTTTCTGAGCTTAGGAAAGATGGGCACCCTTCAATTTACAGTGGTGATTTAAGCCCTGTTCAGAGGGCTAACCCGGACCGGTCAGCTGATTGTAGCCATTGGTGCCTTCCTGGGTTGCCTGATACCTGGAATGAACTATTCTATACGGTATTGTTCTATTAGATTGTATGTGGTATTCTTCATTTTATAATTAATTATTACTAATTTTGATTATAGGTTTGCAGAGGGTGCAAAAATGCACTTTACTCTGCATCTATAGTATCTCTCCTCTCCGTTTAGTCAAGGTTTAGTGTAGCCTCTGTTGTAAAGTAACACATACTGTTTCTAAAGAGAAATAAGGCCACTTATTTCGTCTTTATTCTCCTGATGGTGTCTTTGAGGCTATAATGTTGCCAGTCCATTATCACTAGATAGGTGAGCCAAGACGGGAGGAAAAGGAAAGAAGGCTCTTTTTAAGTTGTTTCTTGGACCCTTTTGTGGGCCAGTTTGGGCCCTTAGAGGTCCTACTTCTTGGAGTTGCCTCACTGCCAATTGCTCGGCTCGGTCTTAGACAAACTTCCTTGAATCATCCCCCTCCACCCACAGGAAACTCAATAATGATGCTCACTACAGTTCCTCCAGTCAAGTCCAATATTAGCTTCAAGAATTTAGACTGGGTAATGCTCCATTAAACTAGTAGGGACAGCATATTTCTTGTCGAATTATTGAATGACTGTGCTAATTGACATTACAGCCTTGTGGGGACAAGATTTCTGGATGTGAAAAACGCAGCTAGAATAACAACAGACTAATTTAGTTTTTGGGCAAAGGCCATAATAAGCAAAACATAAGAACAGATTTCACATTTCATATTGCAACTTATAGATGGGAACAGCTCAAGCTTTCGCACATGATAAGAACAACAGGGAAGATTCTCAATTAATGATTAACTTCCACTGCAAAAGCAAAAACAACAGCAGGTTGATGATAAGAAAAGATGATCAGACGGCCACAAAATATTATAGTACTCGTACACTTCGCCTATCGTATACAACAGAGCATTCTGAAGTTGCATGGATATGCCACAAACCCTACTCTTAATTATTAGATTCACACATTCAGCTTCCCTCCAGTCGGCAGGCACTAACTTTGTATGGCAACCCCTGGAAGTTCCATCATCCTTGGTATACTATCAATAACCTTGGATGGCACGTTGCTCAGAGTTGTCTCTGCGTCATAAGCGGAGAGATGGACCCCCAAGGCAGCCCTGCCTGAAGGGTCAAGGTTGTTCTTCCAGGCAGCATCCCACTCAACAGCTTTAGCAGTGCTGCATGCTACACTAGCTCCTCCAGGGACAGTCAATCTAGCGGAGTTCTGTTAGACCAGGCAAAGGAGGATGATCACTTTAGTCATCAGTACTGCTGAGAAAGTTAAAAACATATATAAATGTATTCGAACAGCGAAATTTAGATAATCACCTGAGGGAAGAACCTCTCAAAAATCATCCTGTAGTAGTAGGCTTCTTTTGTAGTAGGGGTGTTGTGAGGGAAGATGTAAGAAGCATTAAGCATCATTTTATCCGTCACCTGAAAAGTATAAGGTGAGAATTATTTGGTCCTCAAGTTAGTCTACTTAAACTTCCAGATTCCAAATGGAAATGATATATGGTTATTAAATATACAATAGACTAACGGAAACTGCAAAAAAATTTGAGGGGAAAAGAAAGACAATAAAAGGAAGTAGAAGGATATTTACGTGTTGGGCAGCATGGGCTTTGAGACCATCGATCCAACTATAACCAACACCATCACTAAACTGTTCTTTCTGTCTGTACAGGATGTGCTGGAGGGTATATTAAACAGGACATGTTAGTTGGGTACTTAATTAGTTCACAAATACCAAAGACAACAAAAGATTCTAAATCACCTTTGGCAGGTAGGGACGCTCTTCGTCATCAAAGGCCCTTCTAAGAACCCACTTCTCAATGCGTCCTTGATCCTTATTGATCTGATTCAAAAAATAGAGGAGCATTCTTGATAAGTCTGTGGAAGAATAAACCAAGCAATTCCAGGAACAAATATACTTTTCTCCTTTAAGAGAAATGCTCGTTTAAGTACGTACCAACTTCGATTCAGGGTCTATAGCCATGGCAACACTGATAAATTCTTTGTCTAAGAAGGGGACTCGAGCCTCCAATCCCCATGCAGATGTTGCTTTGTTAGCTCTCAAGCAATCATACTGGTGGAGGGCCTTGATCTACACAAAAGTATCAAAACAGACCAATTTTGGTTATACCCATCTATCCTAACTCCTCTTGCTGATAAGTAAAGCGCCTAGTAAGATAATCTATTACCTTGCGGCATGTTTCACGGTGGAATTCTTCCTTATTTGGTGCCTTGTGGAAGTACAAATATCCACCAAAAATCTCATCAGAGCCTTCACCAGAAATAACCATCTTCACTCCTAGTGACTTGATCTTTCGTGACATCAGAAACATAGGAGTGCTTGCCCTGATTGTGGTCACGTCATAGGTTTCAATATGGTATATGACATCTTCGATGGCATCAATTCCATCCTGCCACATTAGAGAGAAATTTAGCTTGTTCTAGAATTATTAGACCACAATTCTTTAATTAAAACTATTACTAAATATTCTGTCAATATACTTGAACAGTGAAGTGAAACTCATGATGAACAGTGCCCAGATAGTCTGCAACCTCCCTTGCAGCTTTCAGGTCTGGTGAACCCTGCAGACAAATTGTGAAACAGGTTTTAAGGACCAATTAAATCCTTTAAAGCTGTACTTCAAGGTTTCATCCTATACCAGTAGGACTTACCTCTAGGCCGATGCAGAAAGAATGGAGCTGTGTTCCCCAATGTTTGGCAGCCTTGGTACCAGCCAAGTACCGAGCTGTGATAGAAGCAACCAATGATGAATCAAGCCCTCCGGATAACAGAACTCCAAAAGGCACATCGGTCATCAGCCTTTTGATCACGGCCTGCAAATATATTGAATCCGACCAATAAGCTATAATTACACAAAAATAAAAGAAAAAAAAAAATTCTTTGCTTAGTCTTGTAAGTGTCAAATATTTCTCAGGCTGCAATTCATCAATCTTACATTTTCAAATGCACGTCTGAGAACAAGAGGGTCATATGGAACTGATGGAATGGCCTCAGAGAACCATGGTGGGTTGTACCATCTCCTAAATCCTCCTAATTTGCTGGAGTACAAATGGCCAGGAGGAAAGGTCTCAAAGTGTTCACAGTCATCATTCAAACCTTTCAATTCCGAAGATATCCAAACCGAACCTGAACATAACAAGTAGAAAAAAAATTTAGAAAAAACCAATTTTCAACCACAATTTAGACAGCTATAAATCCACGCAAAAGAATTACTATTTGAGAAAGCAAGAAGATAATACCATCAAGTCCCCAGCCAAAATAGAGGGAGGTGACCCCAATAGCATCACGTGCAACAATAAAACTGTTGTCACGGGTATCCAGCAGCACAAATGAGAAGATTCCATCCAACATGTCCACAAAGTCTTCCCCATACTCCTCATACTAGAATATAGTACAAATTTAAAGAACAATTTACACTTGTTAGAGCAAAAATTTACAAAAAACAAAACTTGACCAAAAATCGAATGAATCGAATTACCAGATGGGCAATAACATCACAATCACTGCCAGTTCTGAACTTGTGGTTTGCCAACTTCTTCCTCAGTTCTTCATGGTTGTAAATCTCTCCATTCACCTGGTTGTCAGCACATATTTTTTTTTCTTTGTTAGTAACTTTGCTTCATGACCGATAAGTAACAAATAAATAACAATTATTCCAACATCCCAAAGTCTTTGGGGTTTTTCCATTTTGAAGGCACATAGGGCAGAGCCACTTGTCTCGACTAAGGCCCATGTGATATAGGGTGAAAATGGGAAAATAAGAAAACAAAAAAAATCTTAGAGGGCTACCGTGACAACAACACTTTTGTCTTCATTGAAGAGAGGTTGGTCACCGGAAGCAGGATCAATGATGGCAAGGCGTTGATGGGCCAGATAACAGTCTCCATGTTGGTACAGCCCACTCCAGTCAGGACCACGGTGCTTCAGCCTGTTGAAAAGAGTAGTAGTATAGTTATTTCATCTGATTGTTCTAACTCCATCATATTTCTTGTAGAAATATTACTATATTTTTCTCCAAATAATTGTTAAATTATGGCCCACATGACTAACTTATAAGCGATAAATCTAAATGGAAATTTTTTATGCTTGTCTTCATTATCTGATTGAATTAGAATCTCAAATATAGACTCTCCCACTCTTTTGTTTTTTCCCTGCTTCAAGATTCTTGACAGAGCTTGGCTTGCTCTCGCCTCCATCTCCATAGTCCTTGTGCAAATTGCAAACAAAAATGATGATGATCAAGAATTCACGACCAAGACCAAGTTAAGAAAAAAAAAAGTTTCTGGCACCCTCTCAAGGTGGAAATTTTCCATATAAGCTATCCACCTTATGATGATCAAGAATTCAAGACCATGTTCCAGGTTGAAATTCATCATAACCGAAATATGCGACATAAAAATGCGTCTATACTTTTTACCTTGAGCTTTCAACTTTACAATCAAGGGATTAAAAACACAAAAACCTTATATCACCGTACTCTTTTTCTTTACATTGCACGCAACAAAACTCAAAAAGCTTGTCATTATTTAAACCTATTTGAAAAATTTTATGCAACCTTTTAAAAACACAAACATCAAAAGCTAAGAGTAGAGACCAAAAAGAGAGGCCGAAAGGTGGAAAGAAAAGATTATTGCCTGCGGGAAAGCTCCAGTACTCGAACCCTTTTTGCTTGAGAATCATCAGAACAACCCAAAACTGCTAAAATCCCACACATTTTCTTTCAATAATAAACACTCGCAGACACCTTTTTTCCGTTTTTTTTTTTTTTTGCAAGAACAAGAACTAAACTAAACTAATGGGTAGTCTTAAAATCCTTCAAAAACAAAAGGATAAAAGAACAGAGACGAGGAAGAAGGTTTTTGCAGAGCAACGAAACAGAGAAAACAGGGGAGTGTAAACAGGGGAAGCCAACACGTAGCTGTGCTTTAGAGATCATCAAACGCCACGTATTTATAGTTGCAAAACTTCAGGTGAAGCCCCCAAACGACACCGCTTCGTCACTTCTTCTGGTCCACCGCTCTCCTCTCGCCACGTGGTCTCACGTGGTTGGTTTTTACTGTTGCTTTTTGACCGTTCCCCCAGTTTTCACGGTTAGAGCTTTATCCATTTCCAATTTCTGACTCAGCAGCAGCGTACATAGTCAAAATTATTGTGCCCCCCTCATTTTTTTCAACCGTCCACGTGTCACCATAAACTGGATCTCATAGCTGACATGAAATTTTATGTTTCTTAGTTCTGGCGATGCAACCTAGGCCGTTGATTCGTTTGACTTGAGATACGATCAAGGCGTATCATCAAAATCCATTATCAATTCACTAGATATCTAAAATAATTAACAATACAATACGTAACTTTCCAAGTAAATTATATTTTAATTCTTTTTAATAAAAATGCGATTTCAGCTTACATAAGCCAAGCAATTATTGAGAAATTGGTGAACGAATCATCGCGTATCAATAAACAAATAAAAGATCATGACAAAAATATTTTAAAATTATAAAATTAAATATTGCCACTTTGGAATATTCATTTGATGGTCCATTTATTTTTGTCTTCTTTTTTTTTCTTGTTGAAATAATCGACCAATAGTATAACAAGATGTTAAAATCCCACACTAAACTATTTTGGGTTGGAATTATTATACCCTTTCTTCTTCTTTTTTCCTAACTTCAAATCTTTAGTGTTAAAGTGCAATTAAAATATGTGGAAAATGAAAGTTTGATTTGAAATTTGAAATTGAAACTGCAAGAATCAAATTCAAAATTTTATCTCAATCTTTGTATTTTTTACCAATGATCGGAGCAAATTATGTTAAAGTTGCAAATGTGGTTGGAGTTTTCATTAATTAACGAAAAGATGACAACTATGAATTGATATTTTGATTGTTTATTATCAAATGGGCTTAATTGAAAATTAATCACAATTTGTCGCGTCCCACAAGTTTTGTCTTATTACTTTTGTTTTCACTCCATCCATGAGTTAATAGATTTTACTTTAAAATGTTTCTCAAATATACGTATATGAATCGATAATGTTATACAATTCAACAATGATTTTACATAAATTTGTGAAAATTAAAAAAAAAATCTGAATAATAAATAAATTTTTATTCAGACTCATTTCGGTCGTAACTTGCAATAACTGTGTGTTGTCTTGCTTGGAATTAGACGAAGATATGGTGGAATTATTAGGGCGGTATTGAAGGGGGTTGCAGTTGCAGGGCTAAGAGTTAAAAAGAAGAGGTGATATATTGTACATTATCCATGTTTTTTACGTGCTTCATATTAGGAAGACAACAATTAAACAAGGTGAAATTCGGTGATATCATACCATATGGGGAAGATTCTTTCCGGATTGATTTTCTTCTTTTTAAAAAAATATTATCACTTGTCTTGCCTAGTCGATAAAAGAATGCATTAATTTATTGGAGGATTGTTCTTTTTTAATTATAAAGTATCAAACATAAAACCTATCAGTCCGACAAAACCATCTGTGCATCAGTTTATTTAATTTTTTATATTATTTTTTCTTAGTACATAAAACTTCAAGATTTAGATGGTCTAGTTTAATTTCTCCAAGAACATAATGGAAGTTGAAAAAATATTGAGTATACATATGTATGTTGCCATCCCAGTCGGGCATTGGAAAAGATAATTCACTACCAACAGACAAGTTGCCCATAAGGAAAAAATTGCCTATGCCATCTTTGAAAAAACAGGCAAAAACGAAGAAGTCAAGAGGAATAAATTGCCTAAGCCAAAAATATGTTTGGGATGTATCTGAACCCAAGAAATTGTTTTTTCTTTGTTTTTTATCATTTTATGATATAGTTACTGTTTTTCATAGTTAGATAAATCTTATTATATTTAAAATTAATGGTGATAGGATTGAAAAGAATTACTGCTACTGGGTCGCTTTTGCTTCAAAGCTTCTCACCAGAGAGTTGTGTTGATCCTGACAATTAACGTTGTGGAATGTGAAAGTTGAGAACCATATCATGCTGTCTGCTTTGTGGGCAAGTAATCTGTCTCTTTTATTGCTGTTGTTCCTTTCAAATCAATCTCTTCTCTTTAAACATGGTGCAGACAATAATGCTTCTTGGTTCTTTAAAAAATAATGCTTCTTGATTCTTTTTTTTCCTTACGTAAAGGAAGGTTTAACCTTTTTAATCTGTCCTGCAAAGTTCCAATCTCTTTACAATCACAATGACATTGCCTTTGTCCAAAATAACCTTCTGTTTTCAAGGATTCAACAAAGAATTTCACTTCAGGAGGGTTAAATTACAGGACATGGCACAAGAAAATTGATTTTTCCAACAAATGGATAAACCAAGGTCCAGTTTATATTTAAATTTTCTTATTACCTTTTATTTTACTTTTTAAGATAAAAATGACAAAAATATTTTTTTTTCTGAAAAATAGGATATATCAAATGATTTGTCATTTTATTTTGATAATAAAGAAGAATATATTAAAAAAATCTCAAACAGATAAAATATGCTTAGAGTTTGTTTGGTTTAATTTTTTTTTAACTTAAAAGTTATTATAAAAATTTTATAAAAAATAATAATTTTTAAAATTAAATTAAAATTATTTGATAACTTTTTTAAAATTTTTTTATGAATTATAATTTTAGTTAAATTTATCATAAAATTTTTTTAAAAAAATAATATTGTAATAATTTTTAACATATGAAGATATTTTTAAAATAAAAAATAAAAAATTATATATTTTTTAAAACATTCCTTTTGAAGCTTTTTTTAATTTTATTTTTAAAAAATTACTTTTATAAGAATTTTTTAAAATTTATATTGGATTTGATTTTTATTTTTAAAAAATAAATTAATTAAAAAATCAAAAAAGTATTTAATATTAAAAAAATAAAAATATACAATAAGGAAAATCAAGATTACAGATAATAGTGAGCAACGTCCCCATCCACAACTTTTTCACAATATCGTGAACCGCTTGGTATTTGGTATCTTGCCATAAATATGTGCCAGGTACAAAGGAGTATATGTATATTTCGTGGCTAGAAAGTACACCGAAAGTACCTTTTCTTTCTTCTTTTGTTATTATATAAATATAAGGAAAAAAGGAAAGTGAAAAATTAACAGTAGGAAGATTGGATTATTAATTTATTTTTCTATTTATATTATCGTTTCCTTCTTCGAAACATTTAAATTTTGATCTTAAATCAACAACGGATTATACTTGTTTCTTTTTAATATTATTTGAATTAATAATAAATTAATATATTTTATCTGACCAAACCATTGAATTAATAATTACGAAGTTGATAATATAGAAATGCATGACTTATATCACTTAATTATATAGAGCCATAAGAATAGAATAAATGTTTTTTCGAATCTCATATCATACTTGATTAACTCTAAGTAATGGGTGTATAATGAAGGAATAAATAAGAAATTATATATCATATAAATTAATATTGGATGCACTTATGTGTAATTGTTATATGTGATTAAATTATTAAATTTTGACAATTCATTAATAAGATATTATTTAAAAAAAAGTTAATGAAATCTCAAAATGACATTAACCTTTTATTTCTTTCAAGTAATTACTCATTAATGAAGTATTAGATAACGTATCAATATATTCAGTGCATCAAATATTTTTCTTTAAAATATATGATTTTTATTTTTATTTTTTCTTAGTCATGCCCGTCTTTTAGAAAGCAGTTTAGGGTCATTTGCTTATTCATGATTTGACACCATTCACATCTCTTGACTCTTGGTTCCTCAGTAGGTCACCCTTAACGTGTTCATATCTTTTCTATTATATTCAGATTATTAATCAAGTTGGCAACCATAGGAAGACAACATCACTCGCAAACCAAAAATCAACCTTAAACGAAAGCAAAAATCAAACGACTCCCATTTTCTGTTCCACAACCTCTATCTGGCTTTTAGAGGGTTCTTAGAGATTTATTTTCTTCCCCTATCTTTTTCCCTACAAATGACTTTTGGAAAATCCATGCGTCATTTCACATTTAATGTTCTTGGAAAGACGAGGACGGAAAATACGACAGAAAATAGGAGAAAAAAAAGGGCACAACATCATTCCCCCTTTTTTTAAAAAAAAATCAGTAAGTTCGCAAAAATTGATAGATGGTGACATATTAAAAATAATTTTATATCTTATCTTTCAAATTCCGTATAACTTCAACCACGGAACTTAAACGAACATTAGAATATACTATGAGATTCTTATAGTATAAAAATAATAATACATAAGGAGTGCTTGATGCACATTAGGATCATAAATAATGGTTTTTTGGCGTAATTTGAAGCTAATAATTAAAGAAGGAAGCAATGACTTTCACATGATAAAAGACTAATTAATTAACCAAGTTGCAGGTGTTTTTTATATAATATTGTATAGTAAGAGAAAAAAATAATTGGTTAGAAGAATGAAGTAACATCATTCATGGACTCTGTTCATGATTAATTATTGGCTAATTTGTTTTGTTTATTGGATAATGACTCATAAATGATGATGGAAATGATGATAACAATTCCTTTGGCCGATTTAGTTTAAGCAGAATACTTAACCACCAACATTCAACAAGAAGGAAGATGATGATATCAAAATCTCAGCCGTTTAATTTGCGTCAATAACTATTGGTCCTCCCTAATCAAGCTAATTATTAAGCAGAGCAACGCATTGCTATGTTTTTTTCTTTTTT